ACGGCCCGTTCGCCGTCCGGGATTATTCGCTCCCTATCCCGACTCGAGATACACGATCCCTCTCTCTGTTCCTCTTCCGGGTCGCCCCCTGCTTCCGTCTCGCTCTCCGGGGTTCCCTCGACGGGTCGCGGCGAATCCGTTTCCGTTACGAGTGCCACGAGCCGGGCTGGCGAAATATTGTCCTGGCCGGGACCAGGACCCGGACGGGACCCTCAACCCCATCATCGCCGACGCTCACAGGACCCCAGCATCCGAGGGACCGTCGACTCCCAGCTGGAGTAGAACTAGTTGCACCGAAAGAAACTCCGAAATAGTCGCCAGGAATGGTGAATATCCTGGGGAGGTCCTCGGAGACCCTCCAGGCTGGCGACAACATTTCCCCAGGCGATCCGAGATCCCCTCGTTCCGTTTACCATTCCGTTTCGTCTGCCGTCTGCCGCGTGGGTGGGGTAAGCTTGTACTACAAGCACCTCTCCCGAGGTGGGGAATTCATTCAGAGAAACTGCCGTGAAAGGGACACCTGTTGGCCTTGGGACCCGGGGACAATCCTAGAAACAAGGGGCGCGTGCCGCGTCCCGACCGCATCCGGACACGCCGGGAGACACGTTCGGAGGGAAACGACCGGGATGCTCCGCGGGGATGATTTGCGATCTCGTCATCGCTGATTTACTGCCCGGGAGTTTCGAATGCAGGAGCCTGAGGACGCCCACGATGCCTCGGTATGGGAAATTAAGGCGACACGAAAGCGGCGACTGAGAGGTCTTCTTCTATATGAAACTTTTATTCAAACTGTGTACACCGAATCGTTCCAAACTTTGCTACCTGAAGATGGAAGCTATAAAGAAGGTCCTGACCCCCTCATTAAATTTCAATATTTCAATAAATTATTTACAGACATTACTAAAATCTTTATTAAAAATTCATATTTTATGGGCGTCCGGACTTTCCTTAGAGTCTTCATATTCGCGCTGCAATGTTTCAAATGATAGGGTGCATCCAGTTCGAAGAAAGGCATTTTATCAATGGTTGATCCTTCGGATGCCACTTTCATATCACCTTAAGTGTTCGCAGGATATTGGTCTGGTCGCAATACCGACCACCCCGCGAAATGATCGACCACGTTTCGTGGTGAATGACCGTGACGTCGATGATTGAGATCATCCGATCATCATCAAGTGCAGAAACGTAGTTGACACTCAAGTCCCATAATTGTTTATAAAATTCCATTTCCACAGTTTTTCTCGCGTTATCGCTGCTCGACGTATCAACCGACTACAAATGTCACCAAAGACCGCATTCACATTTTTCACATTTTCAAGTGAAGTCTAATTCCTTCAATACCCTGTATCACTGTTCCTAGTCTGACTTGGAAAGTGCAGAAACGTAGTTGACGCCCAAATCCCATAATTGTTTATAAAATTCCATTTCCACAATTATTCTCTCGTTATCGCTGCTCGACGTATCAACCGACGAAAAATGTCACCAAAGACCGCATTAACATTTTTCACATTTTCAAGTGAAGTCTCATTCCTTCAACACCATGTATCACTGTTCCTAGTCTGACTTGCAAAGTGCAAAAACGTAGTTGACGCCCAAATCCCATAATTGTTTATAAAATGCCATTTCCACAATTATTCTCACGTTATCGTTGCTCAAAGTATCAGCCGACTACAAATGTCATGAAATTCACATTCTTCACATTTCTAAGTGAAGTCTAATTCCTTCAACACCATGTATCACTGTTCCTAGCCCGACTTGGAAAGTGCAAAAACGTAGGTCACGCCTAAGTCACTTAGTTTTTTATAAAATACCATTTCCACGGTTTTTCTCACGTTATCGCAGCTCAACGCATCAACCGACTACAAATGTCACCAGATTCACATTTTTCACATTTCTAAGTGAAGTCTAATTCCTTCAACACCACGTATCACTGTTCCTAGTCTGACTTGGAAAGTGCAGAAACGAGTTGACACCCAACTCCCTTAGTTCTTTTTAAAATATCATTTCCACAGTTCCTCTCACGTTATCGCCACTCGACGTATCACCGACTACAAATGTCACAAAAGACCGCATCACATTTATTTAGTGAGCCGAAACTTCCTCAACACCATGTCCCATGCAAAGTACGTTGACGTAAAGTCGCGACATCGTCGTAACTCGAAATGTGATTACGTAGAGCAAAGGGGTGCTTTTCCCGAGTTCTCGTCGTTCCGTTTTTCCCACTTCTTGGAGCATCTTATCCGAGGATCGGGGACCGCATAGAGAGCGGAATCGCGTGCGGTGGAACGAGAGATGATTAAGTTTTAAGAAGCGGGAGGCGCACAATTAAAGTATTATTCGGCCCCCTGGTAGCGAAACGGGGCTGGGCGAAGATGAAGTGCTGCCCAGCGGCGACACCTCGCGTTATTAATGTATGCGAGGATTTTAGCTTCCGTTGGCCCCGCAACGGGGCCTTAAAGGAAGGCGTTTAAGACGAAGGAAGGGGACTAGAGCGTTTCATTGATACTATGAATCACGGCGATGGCCTCTGCAGATAAACCGATGAAAAATCCTAATTACCGCGCGAGGAACGCCGCTCCTCGCGCTATCGTTAGCCCGTTGTTCGGTGCCGAGATAACTCGTTATTCGACTGTTAACAATCGACGAGACAGAACAATTACGACGGTCTTTCGAAATTACGCGTCCCGTTGCTTGGCAACCTTAAATTAGTCGATCGCGTAAAGAGACTTGGCGCCACGTGATGAACAATCCCTGCTGAAGAAAAGTCGGTTTATCAAACAGAATTATTTAATCGACTGCCCTCGGTTAGTATAATATCGTTTTGATCGAGTTAACCGAATTTTAGTCCACCCGAGGTGCCGTCCTTAATTCGATCTGATGATTCTGGAAAATATTTTAGAAAAATGATCTAAACCTTCCGGTTAAACGCGCCAAATTACCTTAATTAACTGTAACATTAAGTTGGGGTGATCCATCATAATACTTAATGCAATCGGAAGTTATTAACCGATGAATAGTTTTTTTTATTATTTTTTTTTCTTTCTGTCAACCAAGTATTTGGTAATGAGTATATCCTGGTGAACCAATAAAAGTGGTGTAAATTCGGCCAAATAATTTCCCGCGATTAAACCGCGTTTCGGATATTTATCTTCGCGGATCATCCGGGGAGATCGATCGCGATCTTAAAATTTCGCGTTTTCTCTCCTAGAGGGACGGAATGTCCGCAACGTCCGGATGACTTGCAGCCGGCAGGTGTTAGAAAAATCTCACTTCATCAACGCCGGGTGATGGAAAGGTGCTTCGCGGAATTAAAACGGCATTCCCGAAGATTTACCCCGGAGAAAAGTTGAGAGCGTTTACGACATTTCTCTCAGGGAACGAAGGAAGGAATCCGAAAGCCGGAGTCGCCGGATTCCGGACGACCGACTCTCCCCTGTCGGAAACATTCGCTGTGGCGAATTAGGGAAAACCGAGGACCCCCTAAGACCGACATCTTGAGCCCTGTAAACCCTACACGACACGGTGTAAACCGTATTTACCAAACAGACGAAGAACCAGCCTCCAAAATTCCCGAAATGCGCCCTGACCATTTTATCAACATCGGAATTGCGATAACTTCTGATATCGAATCGTTTCACAAAATTGGGGATAACGTTATTAGCGTTTAAAGAACATACCTTCCGCAAAGGAACGAGCCGTGGATAAATTAATAATATACTCCCTGGAATTGTTGATCACTAATTAAAAAGCGGGTTCCATAAGGTCGCGGATAAAATTATAAATGTTTAAAGAACATACTTTCAACTAAGAAAGGAGCCATGTATAAATGAATAAGATCTGCAGCACTGTTGATCACTGATAAAAAAAGAAGCGAGATCGCGGTAACTTCTGATCTATCGTCAACTCTGATATCGAATCGTTTCATGAGATATGGGATAAAATTTTAAACGTTAAAAAAAAATACTTTCCGCAAAGAAACGCGCCATGTGTATATTAATAATATACTCCCCGGCACTGTTGATCACTGATAAAAAAAAAGCGAGATCGCGGTAACTTCTGATCTATCGTCAACTCTGATATCGAATCGTTTCATGAGATCTGAGATAAAATTATAAACGTTTAAAAAAAATATTTTCCGCAAAGAAACGCGTCTTGCGTATATTAATAATATACTCCCCGGCACTGTTGATCACTGATAAAAAAAGCGAGATCGCAATAACTTCTGATCTATGGTCAACTCTGATATCGAGTCGTTTCATAAGGTCTGGGATAAAATTATAAACGTTTAAAAAAATACTTTCCGCAAAGAAACGCGCCATGTGTATATTAATAATATACTCCCCGGCACTGTTGATCACTGATAAAAAAAAGCGAGATCGCGGTAACTTCTGAGCTATCGCCAAATTTGATATCGAATCGTTTCATAAGATCGGGGATAAAATTATAAACGTTTAAAAAAAATACTTTCCGCATAGAAACTCGCAATGTGCATATTAATAATATACTCCCCGGCACTGTTGAACACTTCACGGCACCTCCGGCGGTTTCAGATAAGCAGTTATCTCCAAACAAAAATCTATGCAACAGAATTTTCCTCTCGAAATGGATGAACGATCGAGATGAGTAGTCCCGAATTGCCCTGAATTTCTCGAAATTAGTAGAGGATAAGAAACGAACCCTTTTCAACGAAGCGAATCAGGATTAACAACGTACGCCGTGGTTGATCACTTTCCGGCTTCTTAGGTATAGAATTCAACGCAAGAATTCTTTCCTCGCGAGCTAATCGAACATCGCGATAACGATGATCGTCAAACCCGACGCGACACCTTCAAGGAATTGGGTTTATCGATATCGAGCTCCAGGAGTTCGGAGGCTCGATAAAAATAGAGGTCTCCTTTCCTCGACTGGCCCAGGTACCGCGGGACAACGTAAACCGCACCCGGGAAGAGTTTTCCATCCTGGCCGGAGGATCGACCCTCTCGAGACGAATCGCAATCCACCTACCTGGCCGTGGTGCAGTCCCTGTAGAGGACGTCGAAGTCCTTGCAGCTGAGCAACTTGCATCGGTTGACGCCGGGCTGAATGGCACCGAGACCCCTAAGGATCCTGACCTGCTCCACATTACACACGAGGGGCACGATATCGAGTCTCTTGAGCTTGGTGTAAACGGTGTGGAGTCCGCCGACGAGGTGTTTGAGGAAGAGCTCGAAGGCCTGGGGCAGACAGAGCATGGTGTCGCCGGCGATGATGAAGGCGGCGACCTTCTGCCCGCGATAGTCGACGAGCTTGCACTCGTTGGCGGTGGGGTCGGTGGAGCTGATGGGCGGCGGGCTGTTGTAGGACCTGGGGGGCAGGACGGCGTGATGGGCCGCCATGAGTTCCAAGGGCGAGCCGTGGTGGCCGCCGAGCATGCCGCCGAGCTGGCCCAGCAGGCCCAGCCCGGGCGGCGGGAGTCCGGGCATCCTGGGGACCATGCCCGGGGGCGCCCCGGGTCCGGCCCCGGCCGACAAGGGCGGCGGACTCAGGGGCAACCCCTGGGGCGGCGAGCCCCGCGTGGGCGAGCCAGGGGTCGGGACTCGGCGGTGCTGATGCTGCTCGCGGATCTGCTCCCGGGCGTGGGCCTGCTGCTGGTGGGACGGGGGCGGCTGCTGGTGCAGCTGCTGTTGCTGGCTCTGCTGCACGCTGGGACTGTGGGGGTGTTTGGGGCTGCCGGTGACGGGGCTGGCGCGGCTGCTGTGGTCGGATGAACTATCCATCGCTCCGTGGTCCATGGGCCGAGCGCGTCCGCTCCCGACTCGGATGGCTCCGTGGATTCCCTTCGGCGAGGGCGCGTCCTAGCGCATCCCGCGCCGTCACCCCGGGTCTGCTGCGCTGCGGCCGGCTCTCTGTCGGGGCGCCGAGTCACAGGCTGCCTCTCGGGTCCATTCCGGGACACTGGCTCTGGAACCGCGGACTCCCGGGGAGATACTCGACGCGGCGGAACGGTCTCGCTGCCCGGGACGGCGACGACGGGCACGACGGCGGCGGCGGCGGCGGCGGCGGCGGCGGCGGCGGCGGCACCCGTAACGCAGGAACGCACGTCGCTCCTTCTCAAAGTGGCAAACGCTCTCGGTCGAGTTGGGAGTATTTCCCTACCCAGTCACAGATGTAATAAATAAAAACATCGGTGGGAGCCCTAGCGAGGGGAGGCTGGGCGGAGCTGCGCGCGGCACTCGGGCCGCCGATTGGCGGCGTCCGCCCCGCCGCCCGGCTGGCGGTTGGCGGACCGTCAGGCGGGCGCCCTCCCGAGGTGGGCGCTCCCGCCCCTCTGGCCGCGCCGCGCGGCCTCCGCGGCGGATCCCCTCCCGACTACCCCCACCACGGCGCGCGCCCCCCACTCCGCGGCCGGCCGCTCGCCGTCCCCCCCCGGCGGCGCCGCCGCCGAGGCACTCCCCGCCGCGCGCGGCAGCGCGACGGTTCGACTGGGAACCGGGCCCGCCGAGCCGGGCGACCGCTTTTTTCCCTTTTTCCTCGCGACTTCTTCCGTCTCTACGAACAACCCGAAGAATGTCGCCGGCGTTCGAATCGATCGCCTCCGAGAGAGGGCGCAACGGCGCAAGAGCGACGCCTAGGGGCACGTCCTTTTTCTCTCCCTCTCCCTCTTGCCCGTTCTTCGCTTACCTCCGTGCGCGGGTATGCGCATATTTCTCCCCCTACTTACTTCTGCACCCGCGAATGCGTATTTCCATGCGCACTTCTGCATACTTACGGACGTATCCGAGGACGCGAGCGTTCTCCTCTCGGCTCTCCTCTCTCTCCTCTCCCCTCGCCCGTTTACCCTCTCCGATGTACGAACGGTGGACGAACACCCCGATGCCCGACATACCGATATACGTACGATGAACCAACACGCTGCTTCGGGCATATATCTTTGCTTACCTCTCGACTTCTGCCGCTCGTTCTTTCTCTCTCTCTCTCTCTCTCCCTCTGTCTTTATGTCTTTTCTCTCCCCGAGTTTTCCCCTCCCCTTCCCTTCCCCCGTCGTCGCCATTGGCATTACACATCGCGCACACTTATTTCTTCCGCAGGCACCGCCACCGCTTTTCCTTCTCTCTCTCTCCCTCTATCTCTTTCTTTCTCCCTCTGCGCCCCTGCGCGCGGACGCGCGCAACTTACCCTCTCTCCATCCCTTTCTTCTCCTACGTCTACTGTGTTTCTTTCCTCCGTGCCCCCCCCCGCCCCCCTCTTCACAGTACTTCCCCCACGCTTCCACCTCGGTGTGCGCACTCTGTACGGCTACCAGCATCCACGGCGTCTTCTTCGCCGGCTGCGGGTTTGTCTCCGACTCCCAGATCTCCCGAGGGAATCGCCACTCGGGGTGGCTCGACCTGGCGACTGCACTTCTGAGTAGAATGATCACTTCGACGTGGATTAGACCTCGGATGGATGTAAAATGGAAGTCTTCGTGTCAAGATACCCTTTTAGGGGGCGCCACTGAGAATGGAACCGATGCTGAGGCCTTTTATGGGACATGGTTGAGAGAAACTCCTGTATGTGGAGAAACTTGTACTATGTCGGCAAGTCGGAATTCCTGATATTTTCTGAGTTTAGAGAGTTTGAAGGTTTCATTTTCTTGGGTTTGTTTCTACTTTTTAACCGAATGGTCGCGTTGGACAGTCATGCGGATTGGACGCCTCGCACAGGATTCAGAGAGTGAATACATTGAATTCTAATCGCTTGAAATTTACTTTGTATGAAGTGAACCTTGAGTATTGGCGAAGCGATATTTAACGTTTTTTTGGGAAAATACTCCTTTGGGCGTTTATATCAACTTTTCAACGGCTTGGTCGCGTTTTCCCCCCATTAAGATCGGACACTTGGCGCCGTATGATGTAAATGAATTCTCAAAAATTTGGCACTGAAAATTGACTTCATCTGGAACGAATCTCGAGTATTGGCGAAGCGATATTGTACGTTTTCGTGGGAAAATACTACTTTGGGCGTTTATATCAAGTTTTTAACGGCTCGGTCGCGTTTTCCACCCATTAAGATCGGACACTCGGCGCCGTATGATGTAAATGAATTCTCAAAAATTTGGCACTGAAAATTGACTTCATCTGGAACGAATCTCGGGTATTGACGAAGCGATATTATACGTTTTCGTGAGAAAATACTCCTTTGGGCGTTTATATACATTTTTTAACGGCTCGGTCGCGTTTTCCACCCATTAAGATCGGACACTCGGCGCCGTATGATGTAAATGAATTCTCAAAAATTTGGCACTAAAAATTGACTTCATCTGGAACGAACCTCGAGTATTGGCGAAGCGATATTAAACGTTTTCATGTAAAAATACCCCTTTTGAGCGGTCGGGAATGAGAAAGGAATCGTTGCTGGGAAGTTTACCACATTTGCGACAGGCACATTCTTTCCGTTTTAAATACTGAGTACCGGCGAAAATAATGAAATTCTGAAACTGGTTGCCGCAAACTTGTATCGCATATCGTCATGGACGTGATTCACGTCAGCGGCAATCAGGAATAGAATTTAAAATGACGTGAATTAACGTCAGCGGCAACCAGGAATAGAACTTGAAAAGACGTGAGTTCACGTCAGCGGTCGCGAATGTATTAATGTTAGTTGGCTCGTTGGAGTTCTTGATTTTGTAAAATTGTTACAATATATAGTTATGCAAAAAATATACAAAACAATATAGTTAAATAATATAGTTAAAAAACAATATAGTTATAAAAAAAACGTATTAACGATGAGGCTCGAGCCGGTTACATGTACCTAGTAGTTGCCATATTCTGTACGGTGTAATCTTTTGACGCACAGTTGCGTTATCCGTAACGGATGATAGTATTCCAATTGACGGAATTTTTCCCCATTCGTTGTTTAGGTGTTCAATTTAAATATTTCTTTCGCGTGATGTCTTCATGTTTTTACGGCTATCTGCTTCGAAGTTTGGTTAACGAATCGGCAGAAACCTGGTCGCAAAAATTCACGTCATCGAGGAAACGAATCTTCGATGTCAGGGAAGCGCCATTAAATTCCTGAAATTAATGTATTATATATGAAAATACTTTGTCCACGTAAATATACGTTTTCAAGGAATTCGAGGTATCGCTGGGTTTTCGGGGATCATATATGTACCGAGAGAATTTCTTGTACGAGGACTTGAACAATAAATATGACATGTACGCGAATGTATGAATGTATCAAGAAACTTGTGTAGACATTTTTAGGGAAACGAGAAGAGTCATTTACCCACGAAACCTTGCGTTTTAGTGTTGGCAGTAATTGTCTACATTGTCGTGCAAGGTAACGCGTTGAAATCATTTGAAACTAGCAAGACCGATAAAGCTGGGTAACAATAATGTTAAATCAGTGGGAGATTGTTTGATACCAAGGAAATCGTAAGCAGAATGTTAGAAATCACTGAAAATCTTTAGAAATCTACAAACTGTTACGGAGATATTTTCACTTCTGAATTGCATTGTTGCTTATCAAGTGAAATCAATGACAATAGGTTCTCAAAGGACATCCTTTGGCTAATTTCCAAGCGAATAGCTCCTCGTGCACATCTTTAAATTTGTGCATTCCATGCAATCCAATGATCCGTGCTTTTTAGTTATCTGATTTGTACCTGGGGCGACAGGATCAGCATTATGCACAGAGGATGCTCACGCTTCACATTTTGGTACCTGGTCAAAAGGAGAAGTACGAAGAAATTGTTAAGTGAGAATTTCCGAATATTTCGGCGTATGGTATAGCGAATGACGTTTTGGAATAAATGTAATTTAACGCTTGTAATGTTTTTCCAATCTACGTGAATGTCGGATATCTCGAACGAAGCTGTACCTCCTGGGTTATTTTCACGACGATAACGACTTTTTGGAATAAATGTTATTTAACGTTTGTAATGGTTTTCAAATATCGGGAATTAAGCCGCCTAAAATCTGATATTTCGACCAAAGTTCTACATCTTCGGTCACTTTGACGACGTCGACGGCTACGAAGGTGCAATGTATAGGTACAACGACGAGCCGCGGAGTCACGGTCTCGAGATCGCGAAATTATCGATGTCTTCCTCGGCGGCAAATGGAAAACGGATCACGGGTCTGCATCGCAACGAGGAGGAAAAAAGGTCCATCCGAGATCCAGCGTGAAATGGATTTTTAGGAAAAAGCCTCGAGGAGGAGGCTTCTTTGGACCTTTGGCTTCTTTCGAGTCATTTGTCTCGAGCCATCGTACATTTTCGCCCGATCCGCCCTCGGCCCTCTACTACGAGGCTGGAGAAAGACCCGGGAACTCGGAAGCGAGGAGCCCCGGGCCTCTAACGCCTTTCTATTTATCGCCTTAGCCAAAGAACGACATTCCGTGGCTTGTCCACCAGAAACCAGGAAGTTTCCTAGAGGGAGTTCAATATTAGTTGACCATCAGATGGCCGGTGAACGAATAAATGATAAAAGATTTAGCAGTTCCATCGCCTCCACCTTTATAAAAATGCCCATGTAAATTGACATACTCAATCATTGGTTATTTTGATCCCATAATAAATTGCAGTAAAATTACAATGCCTCTATAATATCGTATTCGGCATCTAATTTAAGTCAAAGAAAGCTATAATGTAATATTACATCTAATTTAAGTAAAATTGCATCAGGAAGTTTCCTAGATGAAGTTTAATATTAGTTGACCATCAGATGGCCGGTGAACGAATAAATGATAAAAGATTTAGCAGTTCCATCGCCTCCACCTTTATAAAAATGCC